AAGAATCCCAAATGACTGGATCCCTCCGAGGTCACGAAACCACTGCAAACCACGTGATTTCTGGGGTATGTAAGCAAAGAGCCACTGTCAATACACGTAAAACTTTGTACCTGGCCTGGGATCAGCCCCAAATTCCCATATGAACTTCACTTGATAACTGAGTTAGAAAATGAATAGATCTGAAGACGTCTAAACATTCTCTTAGCCAAGGCCTGAGTGTCAGAGAGCTCTCGGTAGTACACTCTGGTCCACTTTCCCTGGGGTTGTACCCAGGTCCCGGTTGGTCTAGCAAGAGGGAAAGTACTGGTAAACGCACACTTTCAAGGGGCCCTTACCCACAGAACAGGAAACACAAAATTCACATAAAAATAAAATTCTCTCCTCTTGTCTCCCATTGAAAGCTCTAGTCCTACTTTGCCTACACATTCCTCTACCATCACCATTTTGTTCTCTTCAGAATCTTTGGAATTCCCTTGTAGCCTGGTTCCATCCTGAAGCACTGAAGGAGATACAGTCCTTAGTTCTCTTTGAATTGCTCAGGTGTTTGGCCTACACCCCTTCACGTTTTTTTTTTCTCATGACATCTAAATTTATTTATATTCTGAGGTATTCCTTTTCATTCCAAAGAAAGTATCAGAAGATCTGAGCAAACTCTTAAGAAACCTTTTCTTCAGTCTTTGACACTGCTTTGATGCATCTCCATAGGACTATTGGTATAAATATTTAGGCCTTTCACAATCTTTACATGAATGGCTCTTTCATATTACCCCTAGAAGTCACGTAAATGAATCAAGACATTACTTTGATTAAGTTTATCCAAGACTACCCATGTTGCCATGGTTACAGAATTTCTATGGAGTGCTAGTCCTTAGCATATCCCTGGAAATGGAGATCCTTGGGCAATTGCTTTAGAAAAGACTACCCTCCTAGGGTTTTGCAATGCACAGTAACATTTCTTTTAATCTTAGTAATCCTATCAAAAAGACATCCATTTGGCTTTTTTACAATCTAGGCAGCTCCAGTTAATTTGACTACAAATGTTTTTTCTTAAACATAAAACCAAATTAACATACCACGGTACTAATATATTTAGCATATGTTTTAATAAATGCTAACTTTGTCAAAAAGCCCCTTATCATATATTCTATTTCTGAAGACAAAGCGACCACACAAGAAGCTTTTGCTATGTGCATTAGAAAAAACAATACTGTAATTCAAATTAGATAATTCCAAAGGAATAACGCTGCTTAATCCCATGCCTTGCACAATTTAACTCCATAAACTCTCTCTTTCAAGTCGGTCTGTTGTAAACACACCCTAAATTCCTAATATAATTAATACTCGTATTTGTTGCCTTCTTCCCAAAAGTTAATCTCACAAAATATACAAAACGAATCTCACATTAATATTTCAAGGTAATTATAAAATAGCCCCAATCCTTCACATTGATTCTGCTCATTTCTAGCCAATGGTTTTCACTTAATGGTATGGTTGCAGTGAAGGTGTCTTCCCTACTCTTACGCTATGGTATTGATGCAACTTTCTCAAGCTTCTAGTGTGTCAGACTCTTCTTATTCCAAGTCAAATACAGTTGTAAAATTCTTATAGTTTGTCTTTCATTCATCCTACCTATACCAAAGTTTTAAGACTTAAAAGGGCATGAATTTCAAAACAAGTCCTAAGAGTAAAGTCAATACTATTTTGATATCACAATTTAAATTAGTATTACTCAAAGGGAATGCAAGCTGGTGCAGCCACTCTGGAAAACAGTATGGAGGTTCCTCAGAAAACTAAGAATAGAACTACCCTATGACCCAGAAATTGCACTACTAGGCATTTATCCACGGGACACAGGTGTGCTGTTTCAAAGGGACACATGCACCCCCAAGTTTATAGCAGCACTATCAACAATAACCAAAGTATGGAAAGAGCCCAAATGTCCATCGATGGATGAATGGATAAAGAAGATGTGGTGTGTGTATATATATATATACACATATATATATGTATGTATACACAATGGAGTATTACTTGGCAATCAAAAAGAATGAAATCTTGCCATTTGCAACTACGTGGATGGAACTGGAGGGTATTATGCTAAGTGAAATTAATCAGTCAGAGAAAGACCAAAATCATATGACTTCACTCATATGAGGACTTTAAGAGACAAAACAGATGAACATAAGGGAAGGGAAACAAAAATAATCTAAAAATAGGGAGGAGGACAAAACAGAAGAGACTCATAAATATGGAGAACAAACTGAGGGTTGCTGGAGGGCTTGTGGGAGGGGGGATGGGGTAAATGGGTAAGGGGCACTAAGGAATCTACTCCTGAACTCATTGTCGCACTATATGCTAACTAATTTGGATGTAAATTTTAAAAAATAAAAAATAAAATTAAAAAAATTAGTATTACTCAAGCTAAATAAGGTTTGTCAAACCGAATGCATATAATATCACCTAGGTTTACAGTACAATTTGCACCTGTAGATCAAAGATACATAGTGTTATCTGGGGGAAATGACCAGACAGAAAAACTAGAGGACAGCAAGCCATATGGGTTAAAAGAACAGCCTTAAGATTAGTTTCATTTTTCTGAGATGGCAATCACTTTCTGGCAGGAGTCCAGAATCTACTATGTGAGAACTCCAAGTGCAATTGGGAACATTTTCCGAACAAGATGTTAATACACGACTGTGATTCTCATATCTTTTTTTTTTAATTTATTTTTAACTTTTTTTATTTCTTTTAAAGATTTATTTTTTTAATTTATTTTTTTCAGTATATGAAGTTTATTGTCAAATTGGTTTCCATACAACACCCAGTGCTCATCCCAAAAGGTGCCCTCCTCAATACCCATCACCCACCCTCCCCTCCCTCCCACCCCCCATCAACCCTCAGTTTGTTCTCAGTTTTTAAGAGTCTCATATCTTAATAAATGTAGGTCACCCATTTTCTTCTCTCTTGAGACTAGAATTTGAAACATCTCAGTATACTAGGAAAATTTCAAAATTTATGGCTGTGACATTTGCAGCATTTGTCTCTGCATCTTTCCTTCTATTTGTTTTAGGTCCACCATGTATGTTTAAAAACATTGGTTGGGGGGCGCCTGGGTGGCGCAGTCGGTTAAGCATCCGACTTCAGCCAGGTCACGATCTCACGGTCCGTGAGTTTGAGCCCCGCGTCGGGCTCTGGGCTGATGGCTCAGAGCCTGGAGCCTGTTTCCGATTCTGTGTCTCCCTCTCTCTCTGCCCCTCGCCCGTTCATGCTCTGTCTCTCTCTGTCCCAAAAATAAATAAACGTTGAAAAAAAAAATTAAAAAAAACATTGGTTACCTTTAAAGCATTCAAGATTCCTTCCATGGCCTACATGACACTGTGTAATTGACAACCTGTCCTGTGTTAAGTATGGGCTCTCATTCTACCCTCATTTGTGATGCATATTCCACATCAATAATAGGCAATTCTCAAAGCAATCTCTTTGGCATTGTATCCCCAGATATTCCATTATTCTCCTTTTTTCTTTGTATTTTGCTAATCGGCCAGCCTCCCATATCTTTCTTAAATATATATTCTCTTTACCATGTCCAAGACTTTTGAGTCTGTCTTATGCTAGGGAATTCTTTAGGCCATCAGGATAGCTGTTTCATGGTTTTCTATTTTTAACTCGGAAGAAGAATTCTTCACCAAATATTTCTAAAGAGGAAATCCTGTTCCAATGCTTTTCAAGAATATGTTCTTGGAGTTCCAGCGAGGAGCAAAATCTTCACCCCACATATTCCTTCTTCATTCTCGAGTGTGGAGTTCCTGTATTCAGGGTGATCTTTTGTACTTCCATGCTATCACAAACATCAATTTCTGCTACAAGCTATCTCTTTACTTTCTCAAATATTTATCTGTCAGTTTAATACTTTAAGATTCCTCTGAAGTTTTGCCCATTTCAAATCTTTCTTTACCATATGCAGTGTTAATGCTATGGCCTATATTTGAATTTATATTTATATTTTGCTGGCATACCAATTCCTGAAGCCTTTTTGTGTGAAAACATATTTGCCCAATGTCTATGAGGGCTTCTTGCAAACTATCAATTTCTCCAGCATGAATCTCTCCACTGCATTAAAAATTTGCATTACACTATAGATGCTTGCTGCCATAGAATGGAAGCTGATTGGCAATTGAAAACAGCAATTCAGCCTACGTTGTGAAAGAAATCTATTAAACTGATTTCTCCCACCTCCAGCTACCATCATATCTAGTTAACTCTAAGCACGCACTAATCATCATGTCTGTCGTTTCTTCACTAACCCAGTGTTCTCCACATTAGACTTTGAAAAGACTGAGGGGCATTCATCATTTTGTTTTTATAATATTTGTGTAAATATAAATTTTTTCAAGTAGTCATATTCCAGTGTTATTTTTGTAAGGTCAGATTACCTTTCCTTTGTTGTTAATTCTCCTTCCCCTTCTGCCAAAAAAATGTAAAGTTTATTCTATGTACTTCCTGTTATCCTTTTCCTGCTGTCTATTCCACCCACCTAAAAATTCTTTCCCAGACAGCATGGGAACTACCATCTTCAACTACTACCCCTTTCTTACCACCCCCTTTCTAGGGTAGCTGAGTGATTAACTTTTGCATCAGAAAGGCTTGGATTCAGATCCTGCCTCTCTTCTGTTACAAGTTACATGAAAATGGGGAAGTTAACTTTTCTGAATCTCATATGTTAAAGAGTGATGATAATTATTACTTAATTAATAGGATTACTGTTCTGTTCAGATGAGATAACCTATAGCAGACATAGAGAAGAGTCTAATATTCCTCCATTTTCTTGATGTAATTAACTAATCACCAAAAGGTACTCACCAAAATGTTGAATTTCTAAATCTTGATCAGAAGACTTTCAGTAACTAAAGTTCAAGTTGTAACTGGATTTTAATATCAATGCTAATGCGACTATTTATTGGTTATACCCCTGATGGCTGCTTATCCTTTTACATCATTAGGAAACACAACCAAGGATGTCAAGAAGAATGAGTTCACCACTGCAAATGCAACAGTGACAAATCCTCCACTTTCCAACGCTGCTTCAACATCACAGAGTTCCCAACACAAGAGTAAGTGTAAAAATTCATGCTGAAATGTTAAATTTGTATGTTGGATAGCATTAAATTCAGAACATTTTCCAGCCCACGGCTACCGAAGAACCATGCCCCCACCTGTCTTATCTGGTCTCTACCAAATTGGACAACCATTTGGCAACTTGGCTTTGTACCATGATACTTTATCCCTCCATAACCACAAATGGGTGGGTGCCAGGAAAGATCACTTTAAGGCCAAACAGTAATCTATGATATCCCCTGACACAAAGCACAAAAAGTGACCTTGGCAACAAATTAGAAAACTTTGATGAAATGGGAAAATTCTTAGAAAGAAACAAATTGCTAAAATTGACTCAATAAATAGGTAGTCTGAGAAGATATAAAAACAATTAAAGATATTGCATTAGAAATTTTAAATGGTCCCATGAAGAAAACTTCAAGCAGGATGGCTTCAATTCTGAATTCTATATTCAAAAGAAATGATACCATTCTTCCCAAATCCTTTCAGGAAGAGGAGGAAAGAACACTACAGAAGTAATTGTTTGAGGCCAGCTTTATCCTCGTACCAAAGCTAGAAAAGAATGAAAAGAAAACAAAATCAAGTAAAGAAAACCAATATCCTTCATGAACATCGATGCAACTATCCTTAATAAAATATTAACAAACCAACTTTAGCAACATACAGAAAGGGATAGAAAACATAAATAAGTGATTTTCATCCAGGAATGTATGACTGGCTTATTACATGAAAATCAAGTAGAGCAACGCACTATATTGGTGGAGTCAGTAGATGCAGAAAAAGCATTTGACGAAGTTTAGTACCCACTTTTAATTAGAAAATTCAGTAAACTAGAAATAAAGTGTAATTTCCCCCTACTGAAAAGGGTATCTATGAAAACATCATCCTTAATAGTGAAATATGTCATGGTTTCCTCTTAAGATCTTGAACACAGCAAAGAGTCCATTCTTTTCAAAATTATAACCAAGGGTCCTAGATAGGACAATAAGGTGATGACAGGTAGGTAGGTAGGTAGGTAGAATAGACAGATAGATAGATCCATTCATACAGATTTGAAAGGAAGAAATAAAACAGATTTTCATAGCATACTATATCATAATTTATGTAGAAAACCAAAAAACTCAGAAACTACTAAAGCTAATAGAGTATTTCCTATCACAAGATATAAGAGATACAAAAATAAACCATATTTCTGCATGTTAACAATGACAATTCAAAAATAAAATGAAGGGAATAGTGACATTAACAAAAGCACCAGAAAGAATAAAATATTTAGGAATATATTTAATAGTAGAAGTGTAAGATTTGCACAATGAACTATTGTTCTGCGAGATATTAAATATCTAAGTAAATGGAAAGATATTACATATTCATGGATGGAAAGACTCAATATTTTAAGTTGGCATTCCCCCCCATTGATAAATATTTGACTAATTTATTCAATTCAATTCCTATCAGAATCACAGAATCACAGCAAATCATTAGAAATTGATAAGATGATCCTAAATAATATTTGGAAATGAAAAATACCTAGAACAGCTAAAACTATTTGGTCAAGGAAGAGCAAAGTTGGAGGACTTACATAAGCTAACTTCGAACCTTACTCTAAAGCTATAGTAATCAAGACAGATGTTTTTGAGACATTATTAATAGTAACAATATTCATAATAGTCACACTGGAAACAATCCAAATGCCCACTAACTGGTGTGATGGAATATTCCATTGGTTTTTCCATTTGAAATGGGTTTGGATTATTCTAAAACAGGATATCCATACAATGGGCTACTATTCAGCAATTTAAAGGAACAAATTACTGATGCATGTGGTAATACCATGAACCTCAAAACCATTATGCTCAGTGAAAAAAGCCTTTTAAAAAACACCACATATTGTATAATTCTATTTATATGAAACATCCAGAATAGACATTCTTATAGGGTCAGAAACCACATAAGTAGTTGCCTAAAGCTGGAGGTGGAACTGGGGATTGACTGCAGAAAGTCCCAAGGGAGTTTTTTATGTTGAAAATATTCTAAATCTGGATTACAGTCTTGGTTGTACAGCTCTATAAATTTACTGAAAATTATTGACTTGTACACTTAAAATGAGTGAATTTGGTTGTGAATTTCTTTATAAAACTTTATCTAAAAATAAAAGGAGGGGCACCTGAGTAGCTCAATTGGTTAAGTGCCTGACTCTTGATATCTGCTCAGGTCATGATCTCATGGTTCATGAGTTCAAGCTTACGTCAAGGCTCTGCTTAGACAGTGAGAAGTCTGCTTGGGATTCTCTCTCTCTCTCCCTCTCTCTCTGCCCCTCTTCTGCTTTCTCTCTCTCTCTCTCTGTCTCTCAAAATAAACATTAAAAAATAAAATAAAATAATAAAATAAAATAAAAACAAAACAAAAGGAAAGAAAATGTTGAGCTAGTCTAATCAAATTTACTTTCTGTGTAACCTTAACTAGAAAACTCAAACAAATGAAAAAGTGATTAGCTGTGAAAACTGAAGCAGAAAGGTTTCAACAGAGTGAGTCTGAGACAACCATGACGACTCCTGTGCATACCTATGGCATAAGCAAACAGATGGTATGAATAATAAAAATTAATAGGGAAGAATGGAGAGAAGGGATGTGGGAGATGAACAGACCCCATGAGCAAGATTAAGTTGTTCGTGAGAGACAGAGAGAGTGGCAAGACCTAGAGCTCCCTTGAGCTTAGACAACTTTCTAGCTCCAGCCACATATATCGTCACTACAAGCACTTCCCAAATCCTGGCCTCCATGGTGTGAAGTAATTTGTATTTTTATTCAAAATATCCTGACTGGAAAAGCTAGTAATCTGCCATAACAGCCTTATCACACACCATCCATTATAAACAATAAAGGCATTCTTGGCATATCCATAGTCCTTAATAAGAAACAGCTATAGATGACTTACAGTCTCCAAGTCTCTTCTTGGGAGATCTCTATGGTAGAAGGAGATGGCAAGTGGGATGTGCAAGGCCCAGTACATCAGGAACAGGGGCGCCTGGGTGGCTCAGTGGGTTAAGCATCCGACTTCGGCTCAGGTCATGATCTCACCGTTCGTGGGTTCAAGCCCCGCGTTGGACTCTGTGCTGACAGCTCGGACCCTGGAGCCTGCTTCGGATTTTGTGTCTCCCTCTCTCTCTCTCTGCCCCTCCCCTGCTCACACTCTCTCTCTCTCAAAAATAAACATTAAAAAAAAAATAGAAACACATCAGGAACATCCATTTCCCATTATATTGAATTTTCTTTAGCATAACATAAAGAAGGTTATATAGAAGGAGCCTAATTTCATACCATAACTGTGAACTAATGGTTTTATTTAATGAGACAATTTCCACATAGAGGAATTTGAAGGGAGGGGCCATTGCTCCTTCATATGTAGAACATTTCCTTGTGGTAGTGTTTTGGCTTCTGTTAAATAGAATCTATTTTGCAGGCAATAAATGTCTGTAAGGTACCTTTAGCAGGCCAAGACCCCATCCATTTCATAATATGATTGTCCTGAATATAAACAAGAATAAAAGTAAATATGCATCTGCAAAATGTATAGCAATTGAAGACTAAGCTCAAATAATCTGAATTCTGCACTAATACTCATTCAGTCGCTGATTAGGAAAATGTCATTCAGGGACCATGGTTTATTAAAATTAGCACTTATACAGAAGTGTGTGGTCAGCCCCATGAGTCCATTAAGACTCCTAATTTTACTTTGATTTATGCAGTAAAATGCCCTATGCATCTCTGTTCTGGGGACTATTGTATTTATTTAGCTTCTAAACACAGTTTGAAGTGGCTTTCTTCCAAGTAGTTTAAAAAAAATACACCCACAAAGCTATTTCTTGAAAAATAAGGCACCCTGGAAAGCAAGATAATTAAATAAAGGTATTTACTGCTACTCTTTGCATTTGCCATTTGATTAACCAGTTCCATACTAAATCCTTTAGATATTTTTTTTTATAAAACTCATTTTTGGGGTAGTCATTTCTCCTCAGGCCTCTCTTGTTTCTCAAGGTGCTTCCTGCTTAGTACGGAATCCATTTGCTATAATGAGTTCGCACGCATTTCCATTTGCGCCTGATGAAACCAGGAGCTAGCCCAGATTCCCAGTTAGCAGAGCAATGTTCCCTTTCCATCTCTACCCATCACGCACATAAATATTCAAAATTAGCAAACCCAAGAGCCAGAGACAGGAGGAGAACCAAACAATCTACTGGTAAGAGAAGGTTGAACAGCTGAAGCTTTATCTTCCTCTTAAACATAGGGTAATGGATCCTTGGATAGTAACTATCAGGTAAAAGCACTGTGGGTACCTCATCTGAAGTGTAGATTTGATTTCAAGTAAAGAAGAATTAGTGAAATTTATTGCTTTACACCCTAGAAAGGATGTAGATCAAAAAGAAGCAAGCCCTCAAACCATTTATCTCTAATCATTTCCCATTCTCTTAAAGTTCTGTGTATTTCTCCTGTGCTACTCTTTTATTCAACCTGGAGAAGACATGTTCCTGGAATTCCAGAATTTTTAAGATAGAAAGTATCACTAATTTAGTGTTCTGAATTTACAGTTAAATAAATGAGAGCCTGTTGAATTAATTAATAAGTTAGTTTATTCACTACAAGTCTATTAAAAGGCTTCTGTGCCTGGCATGCCTCTTAGCTTCTAGGGATGGCCGCCAGAAGACCTTTGCATTCCTTGGCTTGTAGATGCACCGCTTTAATCTCTGCCTCTGTCTTCACATGGTCTTTTTCTCTGTGTATTCACATGCCTTCTCTTCCCTCTGTGTCTCCTCTTTCTGTCTGTGCATTTGCTTCTTTTTTATTTTCTGAGTGTTTAATGTTTTTATTATTTATTTTTGGGAGAGAGAGCAAGACAGAGTGTAAGCAGGAAAAGGAACAGAGAGAGAAGGAGACACAGAATCTGAAGCAGGGTCCAGGCTCTGAGCTCTCAGCACAGAGCCTGACGTGGACTCGA